ATAAATGCATGATGCAAATCAATGACAAAATTATCAAGTTCTTTTGAAAGGCAAATTCTCCACTGAGCAGTAGAAGGATGAATTCCCAGACACCAGCTAAAATGGAGACAAGAGATCAGCCTCTCAGCACGCTTTTCTCTCATTATCTCTACAGCGCCAAACAGAAACTAGACACTCTGGGACAGGAGCACCAAAGAATCTTTTTCTATTGTGGAAAAGGCTATTTTCACCCTCTCAGGATTCCTGTAGTATCTTAACTACAGGAATATTTGCTTACACTTGCTGTACACTATCCCTTTTATTTAGTTTGTTAACAAAGAGTTAAATTTTAAAATACATTGATTTTCTGTATCTAGGCATTAGTGTCCTGAGAATAAGAAGGGCTCTAATCAAAGCTGCCTACTCCAGTTGGCCTCTGCCTGGCCAGCAGCTCCCTGCTACCGCTGCCCCCTGAAAATTGTGCCTTGGCAGCCTCTTCTTCTGGTGGGATCTGCTGCCACCCTCTGCCTGGAGGAGTCTGCAATCAGCTCCTGCGCTAAAGGTGACTTATTGTGGCTTTTGTAACTACTGCTTTCAACCCAAACAGGAACCAGAAATTGCTGATAGCTCAATGCTCTTATCAAGGGGATTTTTACTAATGTAATCCTTTCTTTTTTTTTTTTTTCCTGCAAGCGTGAGTAATATGGAAGGGGGTCATGAAAGGAAATAGAGATACATCTTTTTATTTTTTAGGTGTGAGGCCATAGTCTTCAATTTGACTCCAGTAGTTTCCCATTCTGGTAGTTTTAATCTACAGTTCTTGGTTCAACAAGTCAGCTTCGATTGTGAATGCTTCCAGAGACAGTTTGGACAGCAGCAGTCAGAAGATAGAAAAACTCTTCTCAGCCGTATTGCAAGCAAAGTACAAAAGATATTTTAATCCCAGAAAGTTATAAATTAATGCTGTATACAGGACTAAGGAAAAATGGGGAGGAACTGATTGTATTCCCTTTTCGGAATGATGAAAACAAAGAAATACTGTTTCCCTTATGTGAAAAAGAAAGTAGCACCTTTTTCTGCTGGTTCTACTACTCAGAAGTAACAGAGTAATTTTAGCTCCATCCCTTTCCAGATGTTTAGGATTAAAAGTTCACATGATCTTTTAGATCACTAGGACAATCACATCTGAAGACAACCTGAAAATGAAACCTTGGGAATGCAAAGTTCCACCAGAAATCTTTGTAAAACAACAGGGAATACTTTTCTTGACATTGTCAGAGCTTAAGAGTGGAGCTTGTGACACGCCTTTGGAGAGGGATGAGGACATGGGTGTTTGTGTGTCTGTGCCCTTGCTGGAATGCTAGCAACACAGAGTAGCAGTACAGTGTGGTAGCCTGCAATAAAGAGCAGTAAACAGGGGCCAAGATGCTTGTCTTGTGTCTAGAAAATATCAGTCATGATATTTTCTAGACACAAGATAGTATAAGAAACCTGCTGGAAGTGGGTGGTTGATGTTTTATGCCACAACAGAACATGAAGGATCACTAACTCTGAAAAAAAGAGGCCCACATGTGTTATAGGACCCTGAATTTCCATCTCTTGCAGGTATTTAATGCTAAGTGACGCTCTGACTGTGAGGAAAACTCTTTTAGAAAAACTATAGTGATGGCAAAGTTGGTTGTTTTAGGTTTTTTTTCATTCAGACTTAAATATAATGGATGTGATCATAAACTCACACCATGGATTTTCTCTGCAATGGTGAATGACCCCCTTGGTCATGTTATTCCTCACTTACTCATGGAAAAGTAAAAATTGCCCTGCACAAAAAGTGACAACCAAAATGAATCAATAAAATAGGAGCAGAGGTTTATGGAAGATTATAGAGCAAGTTAACACTGAAGCCATTACTTGGCACAATGGACTGGTGATTTGGAACAGTCAGCATGGATTTATCAAGGGTACATCAAGGTCTGACTAAGCTGGTTGATTTCAGTGAGGAAATGGCTGGTGACATGGTGAAAGTGGTGGCAGGGAAGGGGGCAGGAGCTACCAGGAATGGAATTCTGGTGTAACATCCAGGCAGACAGTAGTCATATCTCACCTGCCTCGAGAATAACATATCTTTTAAGTACAATTACTCTCAGGAATCAGGCAGAATGCACAGCTGGGGCACAATCAAATAAACCTGTTCCGATTTCCTTGAACTGAGGTTGTAAGTGATAAAGGGCCGCTCCAAAGTACACATAGCCCTAATATACCTTTGTATTTCACCTGCCTTTAATGTTAATAGCAATAAAATATAAATCTGAACAGTCTTTTAAGTGTGAATGATTCTTGAGCACCCCCTTTTTTCCTTATATCCAAGGCACTACATTTTCTCTTCCTGCAAGTCCTTGGCTGGCTCTAGCAGATCTGTAATGGACTTTTAGACATATACTATGGAAATAAAACTTCATAACAAAATTCATTGGAAACAAATATTTCTAAAGTTGGGACATCATATTTTTGAACACCAGGAAGGTGTGAGCCATTATAACCTAGAGAATTTCAGGGAAAAGAAAAAGGAGATTTGCAAGAATGTACAAAAGGAACACACTTGCACGTTTCCTTCCTAATTAACTTTTGACCACTGTGGATAAACATGGATTTTGGGACCTTTAACAGAGGCAGAACTGGGAGGAGACAAGATTAAAACATTGGATTGAGTTGGAAGTTAATGATTCTTCTACCATATACCAGCAGAGCTTTGCTTAAGGAAAGAATTCTCTGACTTCTGAGCATTTGTGTGGTAGTGTAATTGCTGTTGTTGTGGATGCAGAACCTAGGTAGGAACCTCTCTAATATTCTTTCTGTTTGTCTTAACTTTAAAATGTTGCCATTTGCAGCTATAAAACATGACTTGTGCAGTTTCCAGTTGCATTTGCTATAATTGGTATCACCAGTCCTGGTGAAAATGTCAATGCTTTAGTGATGGCATCATGCATTGCATGTGTGTCTCTGAACTGTCAGCACTGTATGTCTTGAAAAATGAGCACTGAAGTCTGCACAGCTCTGTAACACTCATTTTTCATATTAGGTGAACTTAAAAGGTCTTGCTATGGTGGCATGCAAATATCAGTAAAATAATCAGATTAACAGCACTGCAGTTCCATAAATTACTGGAGGAAATGTGGCTCTTGATTTGTGATTTGCTCTTCTACAGGGTGATGTCACAGTCCCTGAGAGTTACAACTATGATGACAGACTTAGAGTGTCATTGCTGGATCCTCAAACATCACTGTATTTTTCTTTTGTTAGAGTCTACAAAACCTGCAGCAAACTGCCATCTTGTCCTTTGTAAACTTATTACCTGTTATTCATGTGGAGGCTTTTTTAGTTGATGCTCTTATTCATTATAATTTGCATATAATTATCAGGTATAAAACAACGCTGATTTTTTTTTATATCCATAAGGAACAGATTTACTGAGTTAGGCCATGGCCCCTATAATATCATGTGCCCTGAAGCACTGAAAAAATCTATCTTTTGCAAGGCTGGCTGCATTCACTCTGCAATTGAATTGCAATTTGTTGCATGATTTCCCATGATGTCAAGGAAGCTGTCAGCTCCCAGCAACACAAATGATCCCCACTTTGGGTGGGCAAAAAAAATCAAGACTCTTGACTAATATTCATTTGTTAAGAGTCTTTATTTTCCCCCACCCAAAGTGGTTCTCAGAAGAGACTGTACTGAGCATAAAATCATGTGAATTTATCAAGTGTTCCAAAAAAGTTAACTGAGTATTAAATTTCATGTCTGTACTGCTTAGAATTTTAGTGGATTTTTTTTTTTCTGCTTGCTTGCTTGTTTTTTGGGAAGAGTTCCTTTTTCTTCCCCTAGGAAGAAATTTGGTTAATTTGTGTTTAGGCTGATTGACTATACTATATATTGTATACTAATACAACAACAATACCTTATTTTCCAAATCTTGTCTTTCTGCAAATGCAGCTCTCTCAGATCACTATTACAGAAGAGTGGCTTGTGCAGGCAAAGAATGGTAGTTTTAGAGCACTCATATTAGTGAAAGGTCATGTTTGGTGCAGAAAGCTTCATAATTTTGCTTTCATACTTCATATTTTTAACTAAACTTTTGACTTATTAAACATGGAAAAAAAGGCTAAGGAAAAAAAATCTAAAATAACAACTTTGTCAATTCTTAAAATTATCAACAGCAGCTGTTTGTTGCCATCAACTGTGAATTGACCTTTTATCTTGTTTTTTCTAATGATCTCGTGGCCTTGAATTTCCCCAGCCCTCATCTCTTCCATCTCCAGCTGATATCTGTGTAGGTCAGGGTCATCTGAGGGTGGGAGGAGATGCTGCCACCAGATTTTAAGTCATGTTGTGCCTTTAAACTCTCAAAAAAAAGGTCACTTCTCCAATCCTGTGACCTGCAATGATATGCTCACCCAGCACATTATTGTAGTCATCAATGTATCATAATTATGAGGAGAAGTTTATATCTTCATGTTACACAAAGGTGAATTTTGGAAGATCAGATGCTCAAAAGCATTTGTATACTAGCTTTTCCTGAGCATCAGGAATTTTATTTCACAATATTTTTTGTTTGCAGCTGTGCAGTCTTGGAGAAATCCCTTCTCTAATTCTTGTTCCTATCTCTCTTAAGTATCCAAGGAGAAGGAGAAGATAATATTTTTTTGTCCTGATATATGTGCTGACCCAGACTTATAGCATAGCCACAAAAAGAGTTTGGGAAGTAGATATTAGCAGTGGGAAAGCAGATGGACCTTTTCCAGCATTGGAAAAGTTCATCCAACTTTTTTCAGCTGCATTCAAGCATATAAAACCTCTCTTTGTGTGATTTTTTTCCTCCCCTCTCTCTTTTTCACCCTTTTCTCAAATGAGGAGAGTATTGCAAAGGGGGAAATCAGATCATGTGAGCTGTGATTTCTGAGCTCTGACTTGAGGGCATTAATTTCAATACTGTAAAATAATATGCAATACTCCTGTTGGCAGATCTGAAGATGGCTTGTTTCAAGTGACCCATTTTTTTCTGAGGGGCTCTGCACTGGCTTCTGGATCGTCCTTGAGAAATCTGTTCTGGTTGTAGTGGGAGTTACACAAACAGGCAAGTGTTTTCATTCTTTAAATAAACTTTGCAAACAGATTTCTCTGAAGTGTCCTTTTTAGTTGTTATCCATCTCTTAGACACAGAATTTTAAAAAGCTGAGGAAAAAAAAAAAAGATGAAGTATTGAACTATTCATTGCACTAAACCAAAATACAACTTAATAACAAAACAAGGCTTTCAACACTAAAGCATTATGATGTGTCAAAGGATATATAAATGTCTATGACTACAGGAAGTTGCTGAGGGAACTGGAGCAGTTCTCCTGAACTGTTTAGTTACAGATCATTTCAAGCATCTGGGCATCTCTGCAAACAGGAAGAGATCAGGGACATCCTGCATATTATTGCAAGAAGAAAAAAAACATGTAATATCCTTACAGGATTTCAGTTAGGTGAAATAATAAATTATTTTGTCACTAAGAGTTGTTTCCAACAAGCCAGTGTAAAGGAATAAATTGGATTGCACAGTGTTGCTACAGATTTTACCAAATCAATGACTGAGTTCTAAGCCTCGCAGCCTGAAAATTTAGAGCTTTCTAGGACTCCCTGTGCTTCAACACTAGTGCTTTGCTGACCCTTTTTATTTTTGGAGAGATACTTTGCCTCTTCCTCTTCTGTCAAAATTGCCTTTTTAGCATTAAAAGATAGGACAAGGTAGAAAGGGGGGTGCTTATGTGTCTTAAAAAGAGGTGTCAAAACTAGATACTTCAGAATTTAAACAAATACACACTTTGAAACATGAAAGTCATTGAGCTAAGTTGTTGAAAGTAGAAAGGCTGAGTTTCATCCTCTCAGCATTTTCCTGTAATTAGTTTCACCAGATTCATCAGAGTGGTCCTTAAACAACTCTATTTTGGCATATGTGCTTTGGTATTTATTACTGTTTTCTCTTGAGTTCAGATCACTCAGTACAGAAATCAGTCATGACAGTGGAAACCAAACCCAGCAATGTCAATGACTCCAACCAGGAAGCAGACCCTGACCAGCTTTTGGATGATGAAGGAAACAAAAATCCACCAGTCAAAAAGACTTCCTCTTGCACTGGATTGAAGGTTTGGTGCCTTAGCAATATCACCATGAATTACCATTGTTATCTGTTAAGAAACGTTGTTCAAGATGTGACATGACAAATTCCTTCATTCTTGTTCCCCCTATCTTTTCTGGAACTGGACACACACTAGAGGTACAGGGGATAGTCAGATCTCATCTTTTTTCTGAAGAAAATAAAAATTCAGGATCTACCATACTTACTCACAAGTTACTTGTAGGTGGATCCCTGTCTTGGTCATTAGAGAGAGGCAGCAGCTTCAAGAGGAAGAACCAGCCTCAATTAGGTGCCTACAATACACTTGTCTAGAGGTTGCTGTCACCACCAGTCTTGTAGGGTCAAAATAAGGTGAAGTGAACCATATTTCATCAAATGTTTTGTGGCTGGCCTGAGGATTGCATTTTAAAACCCAAATGACCCCATTAATTTTTGTTTGTGTTTTCATGCTTATCAGCAGTTCGTGATTTCAGCCCAATTCTCTGAGAGCACTTCTGGCATAAGGCACAAAGGGTGATTCTCAGATTTTTTGCCAGTCAAGCTCAGCAAATATAGAACATAGGGCAAACCCCACACTTGGGAGATTTTTCTCTTCATTCCTGACAAACAGAGAGTAAATATACCAAATTTCAAGCTCTTACTTCCCGGATTGGCTTCATTTCTTAGAGTAGATAGTATTGCAATGTCCAAACCTGTATTTACTTTGTTTATTTACCCAAGTTTCTGTTGTATTGGAACTCTTTCCAAGTGAGCAATAAGTCTATTTGTTTTTTAGACTATGTGGAAATATCTGGATAATATTTAAACAAACTTAAACATTTTACCAAATAAATCTTTCTTTGCAAAAGCCACAATGTGTGTTGGTGGAAGCAACAGTCAAAGTACCAAGAGTATTAAGCTTTTCCTTGTGAGATATATGATATATAGATAAAATGCATATTTCAAAATATATCATATGACACAGAGATGAACTCAATCAGTCACTACCACATTCCTCATATTGATGTATCATAAAAGCTTGAATAAAGCCTGTATTTTGATGCCAAATTGATTGAAGTAAAGCATTTATGAAGTTATAAATTGACCTAAAATAAGGGACATATGACCCAAGCAAAATGCGATTTGGGTTAAGATTAACTTTGCCACTCCAATTTGAGTAACAAATAAATGTCGTGATGGTGACTGCTCCACACAGTTTAAAATATATTTGATCCCTCTGCAACTAGTTTTCCTGCCTCTACCTCCCATTTTCTGTCTGAATCGTTCCCCAGGTATTTCTGGCTGCTCTGTCATTCAGCTACTTCAGTAAAGCCTTGTCTGGTACGATAATGAAAAGCTCCATCACTCAGATTGAGCGGAGGTTTGACCTGACGTCATCTACCGCAGGTTTCATCGACAGCAGCTTTGAGATGGGTATTGGATATTCCTTAACATGCAGAAAACTACTCAGAGAAACATGAGGCAGCATCTGGCACTAATTCTGGTTCATTTCCTTGCAGGCAACTTGCTGGTGATTGCATTTGTCAGCTATTTTGGAGCTAAGCTCCATAGGCCCAAAATAATAGCTGTGGGATGCTTTACTATGGCTGTGGGATGCTTTTTATCAGCAATGCCTCATTTCTTCATGGGATAGTAAGTACTAATCATGGTGAATTTGGGTAGCCTAACACTGGAGTTTCATTGTGCTTTCTGGTTTTTAAATGAAACTTCTTGTATCTTTAGCCTTAGATTCCCAAAGGCCTGTAGAACCTCACTTCCAAGTGCAATGAACCTCACATGGCACACACATCACTATTGTGATGCTGAATGTTCATTTGAAAAATACAGCTTTTCTGAAGTGAAAGTGCAACTCCTTGAAAAAATGAGAAAATCACAATGAATGTTTTAGTTTCCACTCAGGCTTGTTCAGAAAGGAAGCAAAGAATGAAATTATGCTAGACCTGCAGATGGACGAGTGCTGGTAGAACTCATACCAGGTTTTTCCTTTTCCAAATGCACATGCCTGGCTAAACTGATTTTCCATATTTGGTTAATTTTCATTTACCTTCTCCAGGCTCAGGGAATTTCCCCATTGTGCTCATATGTGATAATGTTTCTAGCCATAACTTGGGCACAGAGATGACAAATAGAGTAAGACATATTTCTGTTGATTTCTTAAATATATTAGAATAATTTTAGGTATGCTCCTGTAAAAAGAAAACTGAAAAATGTTTTCTTTAATGTTAGTGGATCTTGCACTAGAACCAGACTTTCCATCAGTTTTTCTTTGTCTTTAAGACAGACCATGTATCATACTTGTCTACATTAGGCAACTCACTAACCTGAGCCTGAAGATTTGCAGGGGAACTGCTCTGCACTGTGTTTCCTGATGGCTGCTCTTTGTTTCAACCTGGAAAATAAGCCTGCCTGGTCTAACACAGCAAGGGCAATTCCTTGAAGCAGAATGTGTGCTTTGCCATGCTGTTCTGCTAAAGCTAATTTTACTTTGCCCCTCAGCAGCACTCGTTTCTTGTAAAGGGATCATGTTAAAGCAGCTGAACAGACCAAACACATATCAAACATGGAAGGGGACCTTTGCTCAAACTCAAGACATTCTTCTCTTTCTCCTTGGCTGTGGGGTCAACACAGGCAGCTCACTTGGACCTGACCCTAAATTTAGACACCAAAAATTCAATCCTATTTGAGATACTTTCACAAGCCTTTTTGAATTTTCCAGCTTAAAATATTATGCCTTCCAGACAGAGAATTCTAACTTTCATTTGTTCTTAATTTTAGCATTTTGTTTTTCTAAAATGCTCTTAAATAATCTTATTTGCTCCTTCAGTAGCCCTTTGAATTTATATTTGATCAAAGATATCTTTAGCTTTAGGGAAACAGCAGCAAAGTGGTTCCATCCCTCCCATGCTGGTGTTTCCCTAGTGAGCACTGCTTCTAAACCCACTGTTGTGTGTTTGCAGCTATAAGTATGAGACAGCACCACATAAAGCTGCTTCAGCCAACTTAACTTCCAGCATAAATCCCTGTTCCCTACATCAAGATGTAAATGACACTGTCCTGGAAGTCTCACCATCAGGTAAGGAAATGTAAATGAAAGTTCAAAATATGGGAGCTTGTTTCATCCTTGGTTGCAAGGATTCAGCTACCCAGGACCTGGAGTTGGGGAGTGGAAGAACTCCCAATGAAACTGCATAGAGTTTAAGAGAAATAAATGGAGATTGCCATTATCCTCCTTACAATATGGAATACTGCTGTTTTATATGTTGCTTGTATGGGACACAGGTAGAGAATGAGCCAAGCTCTGCACCAGAAACCATCTCAAGCTTCTCACATTAAAGATTCATTATATATGCCAGGTAATATATTTTTGAAAATATCAGTAAGTTATTTTTTAATGAGCATTTTTTCTGATGGGTGATATTTACCTGTGTTTTTAGAAATAAAATGCAAAATGGGGGTGGAAGAATGTGTTATTAAAAGATCATGGAAAGTTATCGTGGTGTTTCATTTATCTTCTATAAGGAAATGTTCTTAATACCTTGATTTCTAATCTATAATCACTTCATGTGCTACGTTTCCTGTGATTTTTCCTTGTTTCCCATTCAAATATTTTATTACAAAGGTGTAAACTCTCATCTGCAGGCTGTGAGAAGGAACCATCATCATATATGTGGATATATATCTTACTGGGGAACATGTTACGTGGGATTGGTGAGACACCAATAACACCCCTGGGCATCTCTTATCTCGATGATTTTGCTAAAGAAGAGAATGTTCCTGTGTATGTAGGTAATCTCAACATGAAGTAAACTGAGAGATCAGTAGTGTAAGAGGTCCATCACCCTCTGCAGAAGACAGCATTCAGCCATTAGAGGGTACTAGCATCTGCTTCATTGTATTTTCAGCGTGTTTGCACACAATAGCCATGATGGGCCCGATGTTTGGTTTCCTCTTGGGATCTCTATGTGCAAAACTGTATGTGGATATTGGATTTGTGGATCCAGGTAAGCAAAACAGAGGAAAAGTGAAAGTCAGCTAATACTTGTCCATAAGAATTTCCTATAAACACTTGCATGTATTTTCATTATTATAATTATATTAATATATTTGAATTATATTTATTTAATTATTTTTATTTTATAATTTATTACAATTTTGCTAAATTACTGAAAGCTTTTAGACTGAAGGCAGAATTAGACTGGGAGCATATTCTGGAAGTGTGCTTTAAGATTAAAGGATTGTAATACACAACTCTAAGAATTAATATCAAGAGCTCTCACAGAATCAAGACTTTTTTTCTAAAATGGAATTTTAACAAAAAAGGTTCTGCTAGTACAGCAGCTTTACAGTTTGGGGGAATTGCCCACCCTTTCCACTGAATATATTACATTATTTACATTTCACATAGTTTTTGCAGCTCGCTCTACACTTTTTCTCAGGCCTTGCTTATTCAGATGAACTGAAAACATGTGTGTGTATTCACATCTGCAATCCCTGTAAGTGGTGGCTGTGGTCCTTCATCCTGTTCCTTTTCAGTGATCTTGTTTTTCAAGCAAGACAGAGAAGTTTTCAGCTCTTCAGAATCCTGTAGTTAGATAGGTGAACTATTTTGTCTCTGCCCTTTGTTAAGACAGCGTTTGATTTTATTTAAGAATAAAGACAGTGAGCCAATTCCAGTCATGCAGTGAAAATTCTTATAATCTTGGTCCCCTACCAAACATGCCAGAATTAAAAATCATAAAAATACAACCAGCTACTCTCATTTTCCTTGCAATACATTTAAAGCCATGGGTAATTTCACTGACACTACAGAGAATGTCCAATTGCATAATAGTGACCTACACAATTCAGGAAAGCAGAGGATGGTCTCAGGAGCCAAAAAACACACCAAACTTGAGGTCTGTCTGCCACCCCTTTTGATTTCTCATGTGTTGGGTAAGGACCTTGGTGTTGCTATGTCTGCCACAAAACATCAGTCAGTGAAAGCTGTAAAAATGCAGATAAAATAACACTGGACAAACAGGAAAGGCTTCAAACCAAAATAAAGTAAGTTGGGATTAGAATGTTAGGAACAAATTCTTCCCTGTGAGGATGGTAGGGCACAGGAACCAGAGAAGCTGCGGATGCCCCATACCTGGAAGGGTTCAAGGCCAGGTTGGATGGGTCTCAGACCATCCTGGTCAACTGGAATTGTTGATTCCAAACCAATTCCAAACCGATCTATGATTGTATAACACTATTCAGGGTGTGATTCCTGATGCCTTCACTTCAGGGATGGTCCCTCATTAGATGTTTATTGTTGGAAGTCAGACACTATAAAATGTAGCTGTCATAAAAGAAAAAAGGTTTGGAACATTCAGCTTCTTCACTGGGGTAACTTGTGCCTGTTTTCTTCATTTCTAGGGAGCATCACTATCACCCCACAGGATTCCCGCTGGGTGGGTGCATGGTGGCTTGGCTTTTTAATAGGTGGAGCAACCAGTTTCCTATCTGCCATTCCATTTTGCTTCCTGCCAAAGAGTCTGAAAAAGCCAGAGGAAGCCAATAAGGACAAAACTTCACATGGTCTCCTGGAAAGCACAGGTGCCATGAAGAATAAACTTTCTCCTGAAAAAAAGAAGCCAAGGAAGTGGTCAGTAATGCTGAAAGGCAAGTGTTTCTCATGTTGTATAAATGTGAGAAGCAATAGGCACAACTCATATAGGAAATGTAACAGTTCTGCAAAATATTTTGCCTCCCCTGCACTTCCATCTAAACCAGGCAGCTATCCCCTGGAAAGGAAAGGTCCACCAAAAACTGTTAGAAGTGAAAAAGCTTGTTTAGGACTCTGAGGTTCTGCATGCATCACCTGAAATAAATCATCACCTAAGTGGCACCTACCTCTAAAAGTTTGTGCTGGAAGAAATTTGAACAGTGGAAAAGTGTTCCTGTATTTGAACCTAAAGAAAATATTCAAAGGCTCCTTTTGCAATATGGAAAGACAAATTATTCATTTGGCAGAGTTCATGGAGACTCTGAAGTACATTGGTGCCTGATGAAAATACATCAGGCTTGAATAGCTCTGGTTGTGCAGTCCTTAGGCAAAAAAAAAAAAAAAAAGTGCTAGAAAGGTGATGGAAAGAAGCTGCTTTGCTTTATTTGTCAATTTTTTGTTCAGGCCCCAGTGGAAGACACTGGACATCTCCACCAAGGCAGCTCTCACTTAGCCTCGAGCCTGTGATAATATTTGTGCAAACTGATCAAAGTCTGTGCTGTGTGGAGCCCCTTAGTCTTCATGTGCATATCTCAAAAGAGCAGCCAAGCCTTAACCCATACTTCCATCTTCTTTTAGGATTCTCTTCCTGTATCTCAACCTCTGGTGTTTTTCAAGAGCCTGGTTTTGCTTTCAGATACCCTCATGCAAATGAAGATCAGTACAACTTGCACTTGGACAGCTGAGAGCAGGACCTTGCCCTAAGTTTTGCAGGTTACTCACCAGTAATTATGCCATGCATCTTTCAATGCCAACTCATATGTCCCTTTCTTTCAGATTTCTATAACTCCCTGAAAAAAGTACTGGGTAATCGAATGTACTTTACATTTTTGTGTAGCTCACTGTTACAGTTCAGTGGTTTTATTGGTTTCGTGACTTACAAACCAAAGTACATGGAACAGCAGTATGGACAATCTACATCCAAATCCAACTTTCTAATAGGTGAGTTCCACCATGCAAGGACTGCTTATGCTGTAAGCAGTGCATGGGGGTAAGTTCTCCTGTGCTTTATTTGGGGCTGAATTCCATGCAGAATAGGTCGAGGTAAATGGCAGTCTGACCTGAACCTGAATTATAAAAAATTACAGGGTTTTTACTTATGGGATCATAAGAAATTTTTAAGTTATATTACATTACTTTGCATTTATATTATACTTATAACAAGGGCACCCCAAATATGCAATGGGTGTGGTGTGAAAGTTTTAGTTGCTGAAGCATCTGGCAAGTTCCTTGCAATGGAAGTGGGCTTGGAGGGTTGGCACTTCACAAACAGCTTGTGCAGCCCAGGGGTTGGACTGAACACAAACCTTTCTGAAGTCATAACAGACCATAAAGCTACCAGAAACAAAAAACTAAGGGCAGACTTTGGCTCTTAAGACTAAAATGATTCTTTAATTCTTATATTCCCCTTCTATAATCTCTTTCAGGAGTGACATCCTTACCTCCTGTAGGTCTTGGCATTTTCCTAGGAGGGCTTATAATGAAAAAGTATAAAATGAGCATCATTGGAGCGACAAAGTTTTCATTTATCATGTCATTTTTGTCCTATGTCATCAGTTTGTTACACCTCTTTGTTGGCTGTGATAACTACGCCGTGGCAGGAATGACAGTGTCCTATCAAGGGTAAGTATAAAATAGAAAAGATTGTGGTTTTCTCCATAGTTCTCAAAAAGGTACTGTGACATCAAGGCTAAAAGAGAAACATGCTTTTGCAATGCTTGAAAGACAGTGAACACTGCCACATGTCACTGGGGTAGTTTTGTTGGTCAGCAGAGTGTCAGCCTGACAAAGCCCAGTGCTGGTTAAAGATTAATTAGGAATTGCATCATTAGCAATGTAGGTTGTTTTGCTGGGGATGGGTGGCAGTATTTTATTTCTGTGCAATATTTTCACTAGGAATGTAGATGGTGGACCAGGGAATATGCTTAGGAATTAGGAATTATGCTTAGGAAGCACCGGGATGAAAAAATGGCAAGCACATAAATTTTACTTACCTAGAAAGGTGAAGATAAGTGAAGACATATCTTTTTGCTCAATACATAAAGAATTACTTAAAGCAAAAGATAAGAACTGCATTCTTCATATCATCTATGAAAAAATTCAGCTAGGAATTTTAAGAGAGGAGTATTTTTTAACTACAGAGACCAGGAGATCTGGTTTCTGTCATTGGTGCATTTTTACCAACCAATAAAGATATACTTGATAAGACTGTGATAACTCTTGCTAGCTCTAAATTCAGTTAGGGGAAAGTTCAGCTGACCTCTCCCACCTTTCTCTTTTCTGTCTACTCCTGTAAAATCAGTAGCAATGTTGGGGTTTTTTTAAAATTCTCTATAATCTAGTAATCACTTTAATATCAGTGCAAGGAATCTCAAATAGACAAATAGAGATGTAGAAACTCAGCTGTGAAAACTTGTCCTGGGCACATGAGGTGGGTTTCAGAACAGTAGCACTGTCACACAGAAGGGACTTCACTGACTTCAGCACTGAATTAAAAATTTCTTACACTTGTCTGAACTTAACTTCCAAGCAACCCCATTCCGTACCACAACAATTCCTTGATTTCTGAATGCAACTCTCACTGCAAATGTGCCTCCAATGTGTGGGATCCTGTGTGTGGAGCCAATGGAATCACCTATGTTTCGGCGTGCCTGGCTGGCTGCGAGATTTCCGTAGGACATGGAAAGAACACAGTAAGACCCTGCTTTGGTTTCCAAGGTTTCCAACCTGCTTATTTTCCATGCAACATCACAGATTTAGTAGGATAATGCATTTTTGGAAAACCAGAGTTACTGGGGACTAGTCAGTAAGGTATTTTTGATTTCCGGCTACAAACAGCACAGAAAAGAGACATTTCTCTGAGTTATTGCACATTAAGCAAAAAGCTCTGGCTCTCTGTTCTAGATATTAACTTTTGTCATCTGTAGGTTGAGCACAAGAGGGGGAAACACACAAATCAAATGGTTTCATGTTGCCTGAAGGTTGTCCATAGGCTTTGCCTTTCATAAACATAACTTTGTCTGCCCTGAGGTTTAACCTAACAGTTGAAGATAGAGTAGTATCTTCCCTGCTAGTGATCATTAATGTTTAAGTATGAAAAATGGATTAAGGAAAGGCAGCTTGTTTCCTCCATGTGAAAATTTGGGATGTCAGGAAACTGCTTCTCCTTCTTCTGGGTGACTGATTTTTGCTTGACATGGAGTGCTGGAGATAATGCCCAGAGTCCCAGAGACAAAGTTCCAGTCCCTGGATGTAAACCTTCATTGTGTTGTACCATTTGCAGGTTTCCTGATGCCAGGTGATCACTCCAGAACATAAATGGTCTAGAGCCGTCTCTTTACTCTGTTTTCTCTCCAACAGAATCCCCATTTCGTGAGCAGTGTCCTACCAAAACTGTTTTGTGTCTTCCAGGTCTTCCATAACTGCAGATGTCTTGAAATCAACAGTTCATGGGTAGGAAACAATTCTGCCACCTTGGGGCAATGTCCAAAAAGCGATGATTGTTCAATGAAGTTCATTTATTACACAGTAATACAAGTCATAGGTGGCTTTTTCTACGCCCTGGGAGCCACTCCTGCATACATGATTATGTTTAGGTGAGTACAGCAGGCTGTTTATCAAAGGCTTTCTACTGAGGCTTTCAAAGTCATGTTTCTTTCTTTACCTTAGGAAAAAAAAGGACTTTCCTGCTCATCAGGAGCCGTTGTAGGCTCCTGTAGGCTCCGTTGTAGGACAAGGAGTAATGGGTTCAAACTGAAAGAGGGAAAGTTTAGGTCAGAAGAAATTCCTCCCTGTGAGACTGGTGAGGCCCTGGCACAGGGTGTCCAGAGAAGCTGTGACTGCCCCATCCCTGGAAGCATTCCAGGTCAGGTTGGATGGGGCTCTGAGTAAGTGAGGGAAATGTATGCCCAAGAGTGAAGATAATTAGAGAGTCCATTTCCATAAGAAAAAGGTTCTGATTATGACTTTAAAAGTTCAAGTCCTTAATTATGCACAGGGAATGGACTTTCCAGCAGCTATTTGATGGAAATCAGCAGATAAATTCACCTTTTTCATACCACTTAACACACTTCAGCAGAGGAAGGAAGCACTCTGCTTCCAAATTTTGGCTTTCCATCAACAAGAGTAATAAATTCAGGTTATTTAATAGCACTTTAATAGGCATGTCTAAGCACTAAATAGGCCAACACTTCTTACTTATACCTCTTTTTTTTCAGATGTGTTCAGCCAGAGCTCAAAGCTCTCGCAGTTGGTCTGTACACACTCATCATGAGAACGCTGGGTAAGAGAAATCATTGCAGAGCCCAACCCACCTGGTGCCACCCTTGAAGTGTGCAATCACCATTAAGGAAATATAAAGCTGATTTCTAAGAAGATGTCCTCTCCTGTGAAACCTTGTCCCATTTTTTTTGCCTGTCTCCTTGCAGCTGGGATTCCAGCACCGGTTTATTTCGGTGCAGCGATCGACAAGACATGCTTGAAATGGGGAAGCACCAGCTGTGGGAAGCGAGGGGCTTGCAGGCTCTATGACTCCAATGCAAACAGGTAAAGCAAACTAGGGCACAAAAACCCTCTCTGTGGAAGGACATGTTTGCTTCACTCACACTCTAGTGTGTGATCCAAAATCATGGTCAGATACTAACCCTGGGCTCAATTTTACGTCAGTCCAGAATTCCTGAAATCGAAAAAGCTCAAGATCAAATGTTAAACTCTTTATTTTTAGTCAGTTTTTATGTTGTACAAAAGAAATTTAATATCCATGACAGAGATATCTGGAATGAATTGTGTATTCTTCATATACTTAGAGCCAATTAAAAATACCTCAGACTTTAGGTTTTACCATGAAGAGGAAAGTTACCCTAATTTACCTTATTTGCAGGTAGTTTGTTCACACTGGCAAGAATGTTAATGCTGTGCATTGGCCACTTCTGAGAGAAAAGTCCATGAAAGAATATTGTACTGAGTAGCTGTAGGTGTTGGTGAAACCCAAACACTATCAGTCTCCTGGGGGAGCACTCCATAGGTTTTTCTCTGTTTCACTCAGTCCTTGGCCACTTCTGATGTGTTTTTTTATTTTTACATACAATAGACCACGCTGGTGACCTCAAAATATTTGTAGCCCTAAAGAGTCTAAAGCCTTAAAGTGATCCAAAAATCTTAAAAATAAAAAAAAGGAAAAAAAATAGAAAAAAAAAAAGGAATCATCAGTTCTTTCAGAGAAGTTCTTGCAAGTAAAAATGTCCAGTTTTTGGTATCATTCACAAACAATGAGTTTTAATGTCTTCTCCTGAGTTGTTTTTTTATATATATGTATGGGAGCCTTGAAAGCCATTAAATTATTTTTTTCAGTGTTTTTGTAAAATTCAATGCCTGGCCCAATCTTCTATGCTCTGTCCCACAGGTATGTCTTCCTTGGTTTAGGAGCAGTTTTAAGAGGTCCTTCCTACTTGGTTGGAATAATTTTTTATATATTGCTAAAGAAACACTTTCAAAATAAGAACTCCAAGCCTCTAGAGAATGGACAAGAAGATGCTGCTATGAATAAAGAAGACAACTGCAAGATCAAAGAGCGTTTGCCAGGTTCTTCTGATGCAGAGAATGAATCCTCTATTTAGAAAGCAATTTAGACCAGTGGCATGTGAACCAGGTCAGCTTCTTTTAGAAGTGCCATTCAAAATGCTGTGAGTAACTAAATAATAAATAATAACCCTGTACAGAGAGCATAACTAATAGCAAAATTGCAAACAACAACAATAAACACTAACAAACAAGTATGAAAGTGCTTTATGTGTACCTGATTGCCAGTAGCAGAACAAGTTACACAAATAGAACCAAATTCTCAACAGACAGAGAAAAACCTCCTTGCCAGTTCTGACAGAGCCAGTCTGCTTTTTTATATTTTTAGTGGGATCAAAGATGCTGCCAGAACATCCACATGCCAAAGACCCACAAAAAGTGATCCTGATCCTGTATGCAAATCCATGCAGGGGACTGACACAGGCGAGACAAGCTCAAGTCTAGGATGAGCTTTCTGATTCTGTCAAATTCAATCAAAATTCACAGTAAGCCTAAGCATTTAAGCCAAGCACCTCACCGAATTGCATCATTGCAGCTGGTTTTCGTCTCAAAATTGGAAAAAGCAGTATTTTTCCAGGAAGCATTCTGTCCTACCTGGGCTGAAAAAGTTACGCCTGCTCGAAACGACACACATGTTCACAAAGACAATTGTTTGGTTGGTTTTTTTAAAAGTCTTAGAGTCAGGGAAATTCATTTAATTTTTAATTAATTTTAATTAATTAATTTAATTAATTTTATTTCAAAATATTTTTTCTTTTTAATTTTTTTTTTTTTGTTTTTTTTTTTTAATTTACAAGATTCTGAAAGACCAGAAGTACTCGTGGCTGTGTTGAGGTGCCACGCAGTGTCCGGCAGAGGGCACTGAAATGACAGCGCTGCTCGCAATGACTATCGCAGCTAGCGATGTGTTTTTCACATTCACTTTTGGTTATTCCGGGAGAAATTAATCATCAGGCAGGAAAAAAAACACCCATCCGTGTTTCCACACACCTTAAAATTCCCTCGGATCATATACTTTAGCTCCTGTACTCAAAGCTGCCTTTGTGCATCTGTTGGCTTGCTTTTGCTGTACTCCCATCTCGTGGAGCTTGACAACTTGTTATTGCTTTAAATAAAAAGGTGAGCACTTGAGTACCATTTCACAACAGGACGGTTGATAATTTAAAATAGATGCCCAAGGCCCGGTGGGATATGGTTAATAGATTCAAAATAAAAAAATTAAAAAATTTAAAAAGTTATGTTGAGCAAAACGCTAAATTGTTCTGAAATGTGTTGTCTGTCAGGACCATCACTGAGCAGTGATTGCAGCAGCTGAAGGGAGAAGACTGGGACCTTTTTTTCCAAATGAAGTGATATTTACTGAAGGTAGAGATGCTCCAGCCATCAAAACTGGAGAAATTATTTCTTTTTCTTTAGCCTGGAGAAAATGAGGCTCAGGGCAACCTTGTGCCTCTCTAAAATTCCCTGCCAGGAGTGTGTAGCAGGGGGGAGTCAGGCTCTTCTCCCAGGTGACCAGCAAGAGGACAAGGGGGAAAGGTCTCAAGCTGTGCCAGGGGAGGTTCAGCTTGGGCATCAGGAACAGTTTCTTGACAGAAATGCTTGGAACAGACTGCCCACCCACAGAAGGGGTGGAATCACCACCCCTAGAAGAAACACACCAAAAGTGACTGACCAAAAATGCTGTAAACTGCAACATAAATTTACATTGTTCAGTGCTTCTTGCACAATGGGCAAGAGAAAAACATAGGGAAAAAAATAAAAGTCTTTTCTTATCTTACTATCTGTGCCTAAAAGCAGATGAGGGAATAATTTTTATCTTTTCTATTAGTGCTCAGGAAAATAAGTGTGTGGAATCTTCCCCACTTTTTAGGAAGTACCTGATGTCCAAAATCAATACAGAAATACTTTTTATATTTTTTAGCTAAATATGCTTTGCTTAAGGTCTTTCCCTTTTTATTTTTAATATCTCCTCTCCAAGACAAAGCTGGAACACATTTTAAAAAAAAAAAAAAAGAAAAAAAAGTGGTTTTCCACTTCTTGAGATCTATGTCTGAACTATTGCAAAACATGAGAAAGGCTCATTCTTTTTTTACATGGTGCATACCCATGGATGCTGCCATAGGTTTATTCTGGAGTGGAATCTACAGGCAGTAAAATACATCATAGATATATGACACAAAGAGAAAAAAAATCTGTCAGATTTGTTTTGGTGACAAGGCCTCTACTGATGCAAATCCATCAGGTGTGAATAATTTGACTGTCCAGTCTGGGAGGTGAACTCAGTAGCTGTCATCTAAAGCAGTGTTAAATGCTGTCACTATTTTTTTCTTAAATTTCAGAATTTATCAAATGATTTCTTGGCAAAATGCCTATCTGTCAAGCATTATATCCAGTGCAGCAGGACAACAGAACTGACTTTAGTTTCAAACAAACATACATGTTTTCCTTTCTAAGAAAACTCTTGGAATTTAAAAGATAACATAAATTTAATGCATCAGGGTGAAATATGAAAACATAAGGGACAGCCTAGAATTCTTCAAGCCCACCCTGAGTGTCCTGTGGGATTAGGGCCACATCCCTGACCAGGGATGGATGTTGTGTTCAAATCACTTCAAGGATAAATGTCTCATATGCAGTCAGATCTCTCAAGTCTTTCAAAATACCAATTTATTTGCTTCATTCACCTGAAATCCTAGCAGCTATCTATAATTTTCAAAAGATACCTGCAGTAACAGCACTAATTAATTTGCTCTTTCTTATGCATGCTTTCTGGAATTCCTTACTTACACTAAGTAGCTGCAAGTATTTACTTGCAAAAGCTCCTTAGTTTCCAATTATTCATACTATTCTTTTTACTTTTTCCCTTCTTGAAAACAGATTTTGAAGGAGAATTCAATAGCTGACTCATTTCTGAATCATCATTAATTTCAGCCCACTAGTCTTTTTTTAATCCTCATTAAAATACACAGGATTTAAAGTTGTTTGTTGTTTTCCTTCACTTCAGGAATGCACTGAGTTGGTTAAAAAGAAGCATTATGGAAAGTAAGAAATGCTTTTGCCATCCAGGTCTCACAAATGCCCTTATTCCAGGGAATTTGACAAATTCTCCAGGGATATGGGAAATTCAGCAGTTACTTCTGGAGGTCATCCAAGCATTAGTAGGTCTGGAAGACCTGTCTTTGGGTCAGTTGTCATCATCTCTGCATTGATGAGACTAATGGAGAAGGGATTCACTTTCCAGTCAATTTGAAATTGCAAAAAAATATTAATACTGGCATGGAAAGAAACAGTGGGCAATTTATTGAACAAATGTGCTCCTGTTGATCCCTAAAATATTTGGGAGGACTGAACATTTCAATAAATGTACAACTGCAGAACAAAACTGACGTGGCAGCACATACCTAAGGAAGTATGGATGGGCCAAAATCAAAATAAAAATGTGTCAAATTGATGTATTACCTAAATTATTCTACCTCCAAAAAACAGATGAAATGGTGAAAACAGTTATCAAAACAGTGCAGAGAGCACACATGGGCTGTCTCTGCAAGACATCAGCTCTTAGGTGTTATTTTGAAAGCTGAATTAAGACAGCAAAGAAAAAAAGACTGGAAATACAAGGAACAGAAATGATTACAGGAACGAGACTAAATTGGTCCAACATTTGGTATTAACAATGAAAATCTGCAAATAACCCAGCCCACTTGATTCAAAAAAAGGGGACCTCTGGGCAGGGACTGCAGGCAGAGCTAGGATTGTTTGTGTTGATGCTGGAGTGAGTTTCTGCATTGTGCAGCTTGAAAGAAAATCCTGTTAAGGAATTACTTCCCTACTTGTAATCACTTCTTTCTAAGTTGCTGCAACTTACCCTCTGCAGTGACAGCTCAGTGATCAGCATGAACTATTTTTGTTCCTTTCTGCTCCTCAGTTTTTCTCTCAGAAGATGTCTTCTGGGACCTACAGAAAAAAAGTGGAAATCTTGGTATTTCCACCAAACTTTCCATTTGTATCTTCAGCTCTTAGGTCAGTCTTCATCAACACCATGGAGTCAGAGGAGGGAGAAAAACTGAGCTGGAAATAACAATTATTTATTACACATAAATATTTGAATGATCTGACGTGAGAAGAAGTGTTCTTTATCTTCCAAAACTTTGTCTGGAGGATCAGTTAACCTCCAGGTAGATCTTTTTTGACACACTGAAGTTGAACAGATTACCTTGGCATTTGGGATGTTTGCATTCACTTCCTCACTCTGTTACATCTTATTTCTTCAGTCAATAAATGCAAGCTAGGTAAAATAACACGTTCCAAAGCACTTATAAACAAGATTTTTAAGTTAAACTTCTAAGTCAAAATTTGTCTTTCAGGTTTACTTTATAATCACATCCCAGTGGATGCAGGTTCCAAAAAGCTTAACTCACATTCACTAATGATACAGGACTGTGTAAGTGCTTTGAAAGCCTCCATTAGTACGAGTTAGATGACAGCAAACACACAAGGAAGGAAGTGCTTTAGGATATATTTCCTACTCTAAAGAGATACAGCTTCAAAAATCAGGATGTTATATTATTTATTAACAGTTATTGAGATGTTCCCTCATTCTGGGTGAGCTTTGCATGTCTGACAAATTATATTACATATAACTTATAAGCTATATAAGCATTATATATAATAATATTATTATAAACATTATTTTATCTGAAGTTCCCAGCCTTTCATTTCTTCACCAAAGAGTAATTTTTGCCTGGACACAACAGTTTTGCCTCTGGAATTTTGGCTTTGATTCATTTAGCTTCAAATGTCAGTTGTTATGAACATTTCAGTTTCCAGCAGAGCATTTTGGCTTTCTGTCCAATCACCCTCCCAGAATCTGCAGCAGGTGCCTTTTTCAGCACTGGAACAGGTGCCAGCTAGATTCAGTATTTTCAGCTCACTCAGCTGTGATTATACCTTTGACTGCAATGTAAATCTCCTCTTGTTTGGTATACTGGTTCATAACTTTATGATCTAGCCATTTTTCCAATCAAAATAAGGTCGGGCTAAAGCAGAAATGAGATTGGAACACTCAGGGATTGGCAAACATTCATGATCTTCAGAGGGGTTGAACCTGTTTGTGTGCTTGCTCTGAAACGACACTTTAAAAAACCCTGAAAAATAGAAGTTAAAATGTTTTTGAGGTGTCCTGAATTATTTTTTTT